TAGGACATTAACACCAGCACCACCAAGTCTGAACCCTCCATCCACTTAGCTCTACCAAATGATCTCTCCATAGAGATCATGATTGTTCTCCTGCATGCCCATCTGCAGAACCTCATTGCCCTTGAGAAGGGCTTCAGGCACCATGCCAAAGAGGTCCTAGCTAGGAACAAGCTTCCTGAGTTTGATCTGGGGGAGGCCGACTCCTGGGGCATCTTAAATGTCATCAAGTCTCCTGTTAAATCTCCAGACACTACCCCCACAGCCACTGGGGAGTCATCCCATGATGTTGCCCTAGAGAAGCAACTAATGAAAATCCCCCCAGATCTCCCAACCACCCCTGTGGCAGCTCCTAAACCTGACCCCTCAGTTAGGCTGAAGGAGCAATGCCAGTAAAAGCCATCACAAGACCCCACCAGGGAGGTCCGCCACACCTCTCCTGACCCACCACCACCATCCCCGGTCATAAAGAAATCTAAAAGCTGTCACAGAGATGAGGAAAGTTAGGACCGCCTCATGGTCGGCACTGTAGTTGACCCTACTTTTTACGGCATACGACTATTCACAGAAAACCCCCCCAAAATACACATACTCTGGAAGAGAGGAAATTGGGCAAGAGATTAAAAAGAACCGAATCATATGGCTCATGACCAAAGCAGAGCATCATAACATGGTTATAGCTAAAAAAATACATGCATACCTCTTAGAAGTTAACATACTCATAGACAACACCATGACTGAATACTACGACAACATTCGCAAAATACCCAATGGACACCTCATAGAACACTCAACATAAAACATACAACAGAACATGGCACTTACCACACTACACTCACGCCTCACCATCATACAACACAACGTTTTACACTGGAAAACATGAAAACACGAACTCTGTAATACCTACCGAAAACACAACCCACATATCATCCTCCTAAACAGCCATGGGCTCAGTAACGCAAATCTACTAAAGATCTACACATACACAGTCTATTCTTCAAACAAGTCACAAGAACAAAGCGATGGCATAGCTATAGCAATCAAAAACAACATCCAACACAAAATCATCAACAACTTCCACTCAGACCTCTTGGCAGTCGAAATAAACACACCACAAGGAACCATCATACTGGCAACACTATACCTACCCCCACGTAGACCATATATACCAGAACCTGACATCTTGCAGCTCCTGAGGCATAATAAACCAATATACATCCTGGGAGACTTTAACGCAAACCACCCACTATTTGGCTACAATCACACCAACAACATAGGCAGAGGCCTTGTCTCATACATACAACAAGGCAGACTTACACACCTCAGTCCACATACATTACCCATAACACAGCAACAACACCCGACATAGTCCTTGTAAACCACATAGCACACCTACATCACCATATAACAAGAGACGATATCACATCCAGCGACCACCTCCCGGTCATCCTAATACTTTCAACAAACCCCATAGTGATACCAACACAACCCCGAGAATCTCTCAAACTGAGAGGGTTTCAAACAAGCACTTGAAAACACACAACTGATCTCGACGGGCAACCAACACACACAATAAACACCCATCTGAAACAGTGGTACACAAAACAACATACAAAACAATCCCTCACTAAAGAGAAACACATCGTCTGAAATTGCTAAAAATACAATACAGGCACTTACACGGCCTTTCAATAACATGGGGCTGGGACGCACAACTACGCACACAATACATAGAACTCCAAACGCAAATAACACAAGAAATTAAAGTAATGAATAAACAATGCTGGGAATCACTGACACAGAGACTATTTCAAAACACACCACCATCACCCTCATTTCGAAGTCGGGGAAGTTAGCACATGAGGTGGGGAATTACCGCCCCATCTCATTGATGGAAGTTCCCGGGAAACTGTTAGAGAGGCTAATAACACGCAGACTTATCACACACCTGGAAAACAACAACAAACACAACAGTAGGCAATGCGGCATTCGCCCACACAGGGGGACCGAGAGCGCTATCGCCCTCGCTTACGAGGAGATTGCTCTCGGTCTCGCTAACAAGCACCAGATTTACATTGTACTAAGAGACGTCAGCAAGGCCTTTGATAAGGTCTGGCACGACGGCCTCAAATACAAATTAACACAACTACAACTCCCTATACATCTCACACGCCTCCTCTGCAGCTTCTTGGACCACAGGACTGCCACAATATGCCCCGGCTCACACCTGGGCACCCCCCTCCACCTCAGAAGTGGAGTACCACAAGGAAGTGTTCTTTCACCAACCCTGTATATCCTGTGTACAGCCAATCTGCCACAACCGACACCCTACAGCAAATATTTTTCCTATGCAGACGATGTCACACAGATAATCTCACACCCCTCTAAATCACACCACATGAAATGAACAACAGAAAGAACTATACAGAACATTAACACCTTTGAGCACCAATGGAAAATACAAACAAACATTAACAAATTCAAACTCATGCACATAGCACGCAAAACCGCACAACCCATCGCAACCAACAACACCAACATCCCATACACAAACAGAGGAAACATGCTTGGCTTTCACTTCACAACCACAGGATTCATAACACACTTCACACAACAAATCGCACAAGCACGCACAACACTCACCAAACTCAGACGCTCATAACACACTTCACACAACAAATCGCACAAGCACGCACAACACTCACCAAACTCAGACGCTTCTCATGCTGCACACCACAAACAAAGCTCAGACTCTACAAAACAACTGTAAGACCTATTCTTGAATACACACCTGTCCCACTGGTGGCAATATCTAAATCACAAAAACTCAAAATGCAATCAGTACAGAACAAAGCACTACTCTGGGTACACGGGGCAAAAATTCTAGACTTAATTCCCTCTGAAACGCTACACAGAACATACAGCATAAAACCTCTTAACACACACATACACAGACGAGCTAAAAACACCTGGGCCTGACTACGCAAACAAGAAGACGAGCATTACAATAACATCATAGACAAACACACAATGGTGGTCCAGAACATTAACACTCATACAAAACATAACTCCTCCCATGTACGCACACATATAACACTTGAGCTATAACCATCCCACCATATTCCTATATTTAAGGCTATAAAATATAAAATAAAAATAAATATAAATAAAACCAGAAGTCACTTTCAGAATCACCAAAGGATTGGCTGATTCATGCTGCACAGCACCTATAATAATTAAAACAAAGTGATCAACCATCGGCTCTGCCAGCTCCTGTGCGTACGGCGTGGATCAACCAATCACGGGGAAGAGAGGGCAGCTGTTACCACGGCACAAGAGGTTGCTAAAAAGCGACCAGACTTTATTCCTGCTCCTCCAGGCACACATGTCTGGGGAAGGAGCAAAAGTGAAAAGGCTTGCCGACCTCCTAAGAGGAAGGAAGTGTCTCCAACACAAGGGAGTTTCCGGACATGCCAAAGAAGCAGAGAAAGAACCAAAGGAATAAAGGTTCTAAGAACGCTTCAAAACCCTCCCCAAGAGATGATGATCTCCTCTTTGAAGAGGCAGACATGACTCTCCTGGTCACTGCTGTAGTCACAGCAGTGGCAACAGCCCTGGGGAGGACGAGTGAAGAGGCAGAGACTGCAGTCACTGTCGCCATGACGGCAATGACCCAGACTGTCGCAGTCCTAAAGGGAAGAAAGCTGGAAAGAGCGAAACCAACCACACCCACACCCTAGGGCGAGACTTCCCTCCCCACTCCAACCCAGGCCATACCTTCACAGGCAGAGCCAAAACAGGCCGAATCTGTGCAGCCAGAGCCAGAGCACGCTGACCTTGCCCAGGCAAGGCCAGCAAAGAGAAACACAGAGAAAAGGCCTGAGAGATAAGCCAAAGTAACCAAAGTCAGAGCTACCAAAGGCTCTCCACCCCCCAGTGGACCCAGGGATAGCCTGACTACAGATGAAGACCCCTCAACAAGCGAAGATTTCACAATGGAGTTGTCAGACGATGTCTCTGATGTAACTATCATCTAGTAACATCATGGCACACAACCTAAGCATCCTACAGTGGAACATCAATGGCTTCTCCGGAGGGAATGCCATTCTCCAAGTAGTGCGATCAAGGAGCAATGACATTGTCATGCTCCAGGAGACACGAATAGAGGGCACTGTTTGCTTCTCAGGATATCATGTCTTCATGCTGCCACAAACACCTGGCAAAAGAGGCTTGATCACCCTTGTCAAAGCAACAATCCCCTGAACCGCAATAGCCGATGCACCGCACTGTGGAGACGATGTTGAATCTCTTGCCGTCGAGATTCACCCCCGGCTTGGTCCTTACCCACCAGTGTACTTCCGGGGAAGTGCACTGTTGTCGCCAAATCCTTCCTCCTGCAGCTTCACAGAGAGGCAACGAGATCCTCCCCCTCGGTCAGCTGGTACTCAGACGCCACAGGCTATGAACCACTGGCACTCTCTGAAATAAACGAGAGGTACCGAAGTCATTCTTCACAGAATGCGCCTAGGTTTCCACTGTGCATGGCAGATGATTAAGACCATTGTCCGTGAAGAGAGGTGTTGCATGCATTGCAGCGAGCCGAAAGAGGCTTTGCGATTCGCTTACACAATGGCAGCAGGAGCGCCTGCTGGCAATCCCACCGCCACGATAAGCACCGAGTGTCAGAAAATAAAATGAGACAGCCATAAAAAGCTGACACAGGCCGCCGAAGGCCCGGGCGAAGCAAATCGCAACTACTAATATGGCAGATCCTCCGGGCTAGTACAGTGGTAACGTGTCGGCCTTTCATCCGAGGGGTCGGCGGTTCGCGCCCCGTCCAAGCGCGAGAAGTTGCAATTGCCGCCTGGAGGTTACTGCTGTGGCTGGGCACCACGGCGGGTAAGGACAAGGCCGAGTCAGCACCAACTGCCACACATTAGCGAGTCGGCATTAGTCGACACAGGCCGGGCTCCCCTCATAGCCCGGGCAAGGCTCAGCTTCGC